TGACTGTCGAAAGCGGGATTCTCAAAATTCTGCGAAATTTGCCGCTGACTTATTCCACCATCTATCCTTCCTCTAACAAAATCTGACAATTCGAGAGAACCTTGAGTTCTAGGCATGTTGTAGCACAATATAATTAGTGTGCGGACCATTTTCATTTATATAGTGCTCTGTGAACACAAATTAGTTAGCATAAATCAGTTAAATGACGAACAATTAGGTGTCTATTTACTTGTGACCACTCAGTGTACATGTTCATTTTCCCAAGAGAGTAGAAATGTATTAACACGAGTCAAAAGAAAACCTTGGCACACCCTCTAACTTCTTGATAACCAAAACTGGAGATGACCACCTACACTGTGAAGGTTGTATGATTTTGATTGTTTAAACTTTTACACTTAGTTTATACCATTTGTATGAGCCCCAAAATGCTAAGGCTATAAGTACTAGAAATCTTGTATTTCTAGTCCTGATGAAGCTACAATGGATGAAATACAAACATGTTTTTATTTCTATCTTGAGAGTAAAGGTAATGTTTTCTAAGTTTATTATAAAAATATCTATGTCCCTCCAGTATGCAATACAAATTCTGAAAAACAACAAGATATTTACTTGACATGCTATAAGATATGTATATCACATTTAATTAAATACTAGTGGTAATTAACATTTAACAATTAAATTAACATCAGGTAATAACTAGAATTATATCATTAGTAAATATTTGCTGTAAATTGATCTTCAGTCATCTGTTAGTGCTGGAATTACCTTTTGTTATTTACCAAATTATCCAGATAGAAATATGCAAGTTGGACATCCTTATCAAGAATATTTATTTCTTGTTAATATAACTATTCAAGTGTGTATGAAATAAAACACAAAAAAGACTAAAATTTAGAATTATTTTCATTCCTTATTATATCGATTTCACACCTATGTACTCTACAAAGCAAAAGCATTAAAACTGAACAACACAATATGTAGACAACAATACTGTACACAACATAAAAACCCAAACAACACACACATAAAGAAAAATACTGTTACTGATCCTGTTGACTGAGATGCAGCTCCAAACTTGTATTAACGCCTCCCACCCCCATACATAACTAGATATTGTACATTGAGTGTGACTCTATTCCAATCTCTACTATAGAACAAACTGTCATTGATTTTTGCCAAACAGTTTGAATTTATATTCATTTATTGAGAGTGTATTCTCTCAGTTTTCTTATCCTGTTATTTGAAATCTGAGCGATTTGTTGTGGCTATGTCTTTTAAAGAATGGATTTTGAACAAGTTCATGTCCACTGAGACCACTTCGAGGTAATTTATATTTTACAGATTTTTTGGTAATATTCATTTCTGTATATACAGCAAGGTCTTTGGAATGTTTTGCCTTCCTACCTCACTCATATCTATTATTAATAGTGCCAGTTTTACATATTCTCTTCAGAGTTGTATACACCTTCTACTGAAACATGAATCTTGCCACTACTGTTTACATGAAGACTTAGCAGTGGCATTGATAGGGGTAAGTAGGCTTAGGGCTCCAAGCTGCTGAAGGAGTACCTGGATCATGTTTTATTATTATTATTTTCATCAGAACTTTGTCTTGTGCTGTATTAGTATTGCATTAAATTGAAAAATATATGTTTTAAATGAAACCGGTCTGAAAACACATTTTTCAGCAACGTAGGGAAGTTTCAAAATCGTAACAGGAAGACCTTTCTAATTCAGGCACTCTTGCGCTGATTGGGGTGTATGATTTTGAGAATGACAATGGCGCAGTGGTATTAGTCTATTAGTAAATATGACTTTTTAAAATGTGTATTAGTATGTATTGTGTTTGTAAATTTTTTGATTTGTGGAAATTATGGTTTTGGTATCTTTAGGGAGGGCCCAAAATATTTCCGATTATGGCCACCAGTTGACTAGCATCGCCCCAGATCCTGGGTAATCAACTACGTTGATTTCTGAATATTTGGCATGCGGTCGGTACTTTAGTCTGTGGAATCATGACTGGAATCACACTACACATACTGAACATAACTTAACAGTATTGGTAAACTGTTAGAAAAAGTAATTACAACTCGGTTATTATGGTATTTAGAAAAGAATTAAACTTTTATCCAAAATCGGAAATACATCACGTAAAAACAGACAAACAGCTGAATACTTAATTAGTGTGACTGCTTGAGCTTTTAAAGGCTTTATACTGATGTGATACTATCCGTCTCAGTGTAAACAATCAAAACATCACTGTACTTTGGTAGGGTTCATTTTCACACGTTAGACGTGTGTTATTCCTGTAGTTTTTGTGTTTTAAACACTTTTTTATCCTTACTGTTTCAATAACTATTTATAAAATGTTACATTTGAATAATACCACTAAAGTTTTCCTATTATTAGAAGATATATTTTAGTTCAACTAATTTTATAGATTTGGTTTGTGATTTAACGTACTAATCATTAAGTAATCAGACTGTTTACTAGGTTGATATTATACTTTTAAGCTAAAACTAGAATGATCTTTTGTGCTGTTATTTGACTTCAAATAATTCCAGTGAATGTTCTAATTATTTAGACTTAGATTTAGAAATGAATAAATTTAACATGTTCTGTTTTTCATCATTAGATAGCTTTAGTTTGGGTAAATCCAAACTTATGTTTAAATATTTAAAACGTAAAGCTAGTTAAAGTATTTTCTGCTTAGGTTTCTTGTTCCTGGATGGAGATTAGGATGGATAACCATTCACGACAGAAAAGAAATTTTCGGACCTCGTGTACGTATCTTTTGTAAATATTTCATCCAATTAGGTAAACATTGCTTTGATTTTAGTGTATCATAAAAACTGCTTTATCGTGAAATGTTCTGTATATTATTAACAGTTTACTTGAGAACCACATCCCTTCCAAAATTCCAGACGTTACCACTATCTTTTGTCCCCTTAGTACTATCGCAGGTCTCCCAGGGGGGTCAGCGGTAAGTTATGGACTTACAACGCTAAAATCTGGGGTTCGATTCTCTATGTTGGACAAAGCGCAAATATCCTATTGTGTGGCTTTTTTTTTACTAAAAGGAATATAATATTCTCGAAGTAACTTCCACATACCTCGAACAACCTCTCCCCCATACCACCACTACACAAGTTCCTTCTAATTTTAACACCAAATCACCTTTTAAATTTCTCAGACAACTTAATGAAAAGCGTCTGAGATACATCCACCATGATAATTGTTTGAGTTTAATTTATAGAATCAGATCATGCCTATATCTAAGATTAGAACCACCAATTACTGTAAGAGCTCACGACAATTAACTTTGTTCAAAATGGACGCAAGTTTTCCACTCTATCTCCATTAAACTTATGAAACTCACATGTGACTTCTGCAAAACAACAATAACCAAGAACACGCAATGTCTCCTACTGAAGAACAATAACTTGATGTTTTCACCAACAAAACTAAAACTACTCTTGAGACAACAAATCAATCACATCATCAGTTGTCCATTCAGCATGAAATTGAAAAACGCTTAACTAACCAGATCTTCGACACTTGTCCACAAGGTAGAGACACTCATAGACAAATCCATCTTGTTAATGCAAACTTTCACAATCTTTGAGAAATTGAACGAACTCGTAACAAACATTCTATTTCTGATCCTCTCAGTTATTTCTTTGTCTAAGCAACCACAGTCTGATAACACTTCTAATATCGTCAACCTCTCCTCTGAAATGTTATCTGAAGCTGAAATTGTCCCTCTTTGTAAAAGGTATCAACTTCTCTCGTACCCTTGGCAATCTCGACAGTTTCGAAATTATTTCTGACTTACAAGAATTTGCCTCGTATGTTTTTCACAATAAATCTTACAGTACTAATACTCACAGCATAATATTGAAAGAGAAATCCACCTGGTCAACCCCCAAGCTACAGATAATTACACTTACAAAGCTATGTTGCTACCATTGAAAACAAAGTGATTCCAACCATTAACCCCGATTCCAAAGTAAATAATTTCTTCTATAGTGTAGGTGTGAATCTGACTTCACTGTAATATGAAAATGGTGGCGCTATTGTCATCTTTAACAAAACAATAGTTTACCGACAACTATGATACTTACAACAATAAAAACACTATAACGCCCCATGACTGATAAGGCGAGCATGTTTGGTGACAGGGATTCGCAGATAACAAATCGAGCGCCTTAACCACTAGGCCTTGCCAAGCCCTAAATGGAGCATTACAGTTTGATTCTTGTGAACCCTGTAGATTGCTTTGTATAAAGCGTATACCAAATGAATGAATAAATAATGAATTTTAATCGCTGTGTGCACATGAGAAGATGTTTTTATTTGATAAAGACAACCGTAAACAATACAAAAATAATAAAACCTCTAAATTGCGCTACTAAGTACGTTGTTTGTTTAACCACTGTTAGGAATGTAACTTCCAATATGTAAAATAAACCAGAACAGATGTAAGAGAACGTTTTAACAGTCACAAATACTCCATAACCAAGAACAAAGAACGTTCTGTGACTAAACATGTTAGCATTTCCGACCACTCCCTTCACGACATTAAACATAGACACATCAAAAAGAGACAGAGATAGTAATGAAGATTTCTAGATAACAACTCTGAATACTCCAATACCAACTTGATTCGTTCTTTATTATACGATTGTTGATCTGGGAATATTTTTTAGGGTTTGTCCACTAGAATCAAGTGCTTTTGCTCTTTTAACTAAATAATTTTTTCTCTATATACATTCGAAAATAGTTATTATTACATATAAGTTCATAACTCTCCCCGGTTTCCTATTTCATCATATTATACAATAGTTTCTTACGTTGTAAATAACGACATTATCGTTGTGTGATATCACCTTCTTCAATCGGGATTGGTCAGGTATCAAGGTTTCATCGAGAAACATTTCTTGTTTTTATGATATGTACATCTTTTACATATTTATATATTATTATACATCGTGTAAATTACACTCAATTAAACTGTATTAATTACCTCTAATAACCATCTACTCATACACAGTAAAAGTGCAGAACTAGAACAAATTTGTTGAGTCAAAGACTCTTCGAACATAATATGATAATAAGACAGTTGCACATATCCTACACAAATTTAGAGAAAAAGTAAGAACAAACGTTGATAGAGATTCGATGACGAGGAACCCACTTTGAGACAAATAATGGTTGGAGACGGCTTGAAT